CCACCAACCTGAAGGGAACAAGCCACCCTTTTCCGACTGAGAACCATGGCCTCAGATTTGGAGGTGCTGATTCTCATCCCAGCCGCTTCACACTCGGCTGCAAACCGCCCCAGTGCATGCTGGAGGTCCTGGGTTGATGGAGCCAACAGGACAACGTCGTCTGCAAAAAGCAGAGACGAGATCCTGTGGTCCCCAAACCGGACTCCCTCCGGCCCCTGGCTGTGCCTAGAAATTCTGTCCAATAAAAATAATGAGCAGAACCGGTGACAAAGGGCAGCCCTGCCGGAGTCCAAAATGCACTGGAAACAAGTCTGACTTACTGCCGGCAATGCAAACCAAGCTCCTGCTCCGGTCGTACAGGGACGGGACAGCTCTTGCTCTTTGCACAGTCTACACCTACATATATATATATCTATTCAAAGCATGAGGCAGGAAAATCAATTACATTCAAGATCTCTATGAATTATTTCACAGCTGTATGAACCACTTTCTTTTCTGCTGCATAAGGGATAGAAGCTCACAAATGTCAGACAGATGAAAGGCAATGGAACATGTGGTCTCTGATTGCCCTCTGTGTAAATACACAGGAATTGAAAAAGAATAAAAAGTGCAGGTGCCTGTGATCAGCAAAGAGGACAGGAGAGAAAAGCACTATTGTTGTGGGATAGTTTACACTGTACATCAGAGAGACAGAAATGGTTATGTGAAAAACACAGCGGCAACTTGGGTTACATGACTAAATCAACAGAAGTTGTTGCTTTCATTAGTTTCATTAGCCACAAACTCCCTAATGTGATCACGCAGTGTTTTAGCAGCCTGCACTCAACACACAACTTACTGACAAGATGGAGATGAATGAACAGGTGGAGAGAGAAGCAATCAGAAGAAACAAGATGAATTAGAGAGAATATGAGGACAAGAAATGTTTCTATCACATCAAGAAAATTTAAACAGCGTTTGAAATTTGTGTAATGTTCATGTACTTGCATCAGCTGAGGCAAATGCTGTAAATAAGGTTTGTGATTGTCAAATACATTTATATGAGCAAAGGTGGACTCATTCAAGAGTGTTTTGGACATACAGTTGGTGTTCCCAATTTTTTGGAAGATTATAGTGGACACCTAAGATTTCAAAATTTTTGACATGTTGAGGATGGTGCCAAACTCATTTGGTTTTATTTCCATTGGTAACTAGCAGATTGATTCTGATAAAATTCAACCAATTTTGGCAAAATGGAAATAATTTCCAGTGAGAATCAAGCAGTTTTCCCTTTTTACAAGGGACTGATAGAGAGCTTTGTCACATCATCCTTGAATCCAAGTCAACATTTTTGCTAAATTTCAGGAAATCCCCTCAAGGTGTTCCTGAAATATGGTGTTCATGAGAATAGAAATGACAGATGGACAGCTGGATAACCATGAATAAATAATACCTCCAGCCATGAAGGAATCACCAGCGTGGAGGAATAAAAACTAAAATCCAATGCAAGACAAAGAGATTAAGAAAGTAAAAAAAAAGAAAAATGTTGGGACAGATGACTAGACAAAAGATAGATTATGAAAAAGAGGACACAAAAAATGAGGGTCTGTCTGGGCACAGTGAAAACTGGCCTTTAACAGCTCAGTGCAGGCACGCAATGCACTCACCGTGCACCTCCATGACTGTTCTGGTACTTAGTTTTATGGTGTGAAAACAACACATTACATTAGCAACAACTAAATAATAGTATTTAGAATATATCCATGTGCTTTTTTTGAGAATTAGTTGTTTGATTACCACACTACTCTGACGGGATTCAATGGGATGAGACTTCACTGCTCTAAATTAAAATAACTAAAATGATGCTGCAGTTGGGTAAAGTTCATTAAAATGGTAGTTTGGTAAATTATTTTACACATCATTTGTTGCACAGGTAAGAGACTGAGAAACAGATAATTGAGATAACTGTATCCAGAAGCAGTATTCCAGTGTGTCCATTCATGTGTTTGTTCTTCATTGCTCTATTTTTATGAAGACTCACCTGCTACATTCTGTCTCCCTCACACTACAGTAGCCATTTGTACAGTAGACTGGCCTGAATGACTTCACCTTCATTTCACAAAAATGTAATCATTCTGAAGGTCTGAAACTTATAGAGAAATCCTCTGCGCATATAAATTCCCTGGTTTCTTTTTCTAATACAATGTAGGTTTAGCAAAAAGCATATGCCGCATGCAGTCTGCATTCTTCAAAAAATACTGTGTGTATGTGTGTGTCTGTCTCAGGTTTAAAATGAATAAACGCTGTAAGGCAGATGTTTATACTGATGGAAAACAATGCCCTTCTTACAGCTTTGATAGCAGCTGTGAGGATGTAAGTTAGGAAATGTGAAGAGAGTGCATATGTGTACAGCTCTACAAAAGTGTGAGCATTTTGCAGATGAAGCAATGTGAGTGTGCGTTTGTGTGTGTGGATGTGTTTTGTTCACAAAGCTAACCTACAATTTGGTCAAAATGCATCGATGATAAGGAGAATATATTGCATTTACAACTGAAATCTGTGTGAACTTGTCTCATTCTGTCTCATTCTGCCAGTAGAACAAAGATGCTGCATTAGAGTGAGACTGTTTTCATGTGAGTACATGTTGAGCTCTGACTACAGTAAGAAAACACCAGTGTGCCATCATGCCCTCCGAATGCACGCGCGCGCGCACACACACACACACACACACACACACACACACACACACACACACACACTCCTGTGTTTTGGACCAATTCATAAGTGAAGACGACCCAGGTGACTGACTGGATTGTACAACATTTATGCTTTGCATACCTCAGTATGAGTAAAAACCACATATCCCCAGTTTTGGTATTTTTAATGCATTCTTTTAGATCTGAATTTAGAGTGGATCATCACCACCTGGGGTCTGAAAACTATCTATCAAAACACTTCCTGTAATGCAGCTATTGCCGAGCCAAATGATGCCTTAATACTACATTTCTAGAAATATAATTTCATGGGACTTTGTTTTTCATGTTATTATTACTTTCTCTCTGCTTTTCACATCTAACATCACAACTTTCCTTTTCAATGCTTGATTATTATATATTTTTTCCTGTTGAACTTCTGCTGTTCCCGTGTCCTTGGCATTTCTTTACTGTAGAAGAATTTGCAGGGTCATCAGTTTATGAAAAAAAAAAGTTCAGTACAAATGTTTTAGGTGCTTTATTCATTTTGGTATACTTTATAAGTAAATAATTAAAAAAACAGCAGTTGAAGGGGACATGTTGTAATAAGAATGACAAGTCCATTTGCGTTTAACTGAGTAGGCAGACCCCCCCCCAACACACATTTTGACAATGGTAGTATATATATTTTGTAGTAATCAAGCAGCAACCAAAGAGCACTTTATACTGAGAGCACTGGACTATGATTAAACCTTCTTGTTCATCACCTCTGCTGCCAACAGCCAGCAGGGATAGGAATTTTACATAAAATGGCAACTTTCAAAACCATGTAAATGTGAGATCAAATGAAGCTCAGAAACTTTCCTCTTCCATTCAGTCCTTTCTATCCCACACTTACACAACTCACCACAAACTCACCTGCAGCGCACTGCTCCTCATCTGCCCCGTTTTCACAGTCCCTCTCTCCATCGCATCGCCATGACAACGAAACACATTTGCTTGCAGTCCCTCCGCAATCAAACTTCCCTACTGGACAGGTCTCTCGGCCTGTTGTGAGGGGGCAGGGGTGAGAAAAGGCAAGGGAGGAGCAGGGAGAGAAGGTAGAGAATGGAAAGGAAAACGGACAAACGATGAGAAAGTTGGGGGGAATGGATGGAGGAAAAGAGGAGCCAAGAGAGATGAGGAACAAAGGTAGGGATGATGAGAAGAAATAGGGAGGAGGTAAAAGATAGAGAGAGAAGGGACAGCCAGTCAATGAAACAGTTTGATAACTTAGTTATCTTGTTGCTCAAATCGATTCCCCCTCAAAGACCTGCAATTAAACTAGACACACAGCGACAGAGGAACAAAGAAGCAGAAACACTGTCAGGCAGACAAAAAGCCTGGAAAATACACCCACATACACAAACCGAAAAAGGAATATACATGCAAAACAAGAAAGACACACACACTATCTTGTGTACATGCAGCCCTGTGTACACAAGGGCTGACTATTTTCATTACTGATTGATGGACAGATACATTTTTTACTTATACTTTAAAGCATAAGCAACAAAACTTTCATTACTGATACACATCACAGTACATTCCAAACACATTTTCACAAATGTGAGGACTTGCTGCCTGTCTCTGTTTTATATTATTGTGAACTAAATACAAGCATGTTAGCTGGACAAATAAATAAATAAATAAAAAAAAAAAAAAAAAAAAAAATCAAGATTCAATCAACATGTCACCTTGGGCTCTAGTTTGGACATTGTTCACTATTTTCTGATGCTTTGGAGCCTAGAAGATGAGTCAGTTAGTCGTCAGTGCTGCTCTATACAGAATGCCTTTTTTATACCGTATTATTTTGTTTGATAAGAAATATTTTTGAGTGAAAATCAGTGAAAGTGAATAAAGAGGGAAAGCACACATTACAGTTTGTCAGTGAGTAAGTGGTCTCATTAGGTAAAAGCCCATTACAGTGGAGAGGGCCATCGTTCCTGCAGGTGTAACCTGTGGGGTTAGTACAGGGAGGAAAAATACAATCGTCCAGTACATCAAATTGCACAGCAAATCACTGTCTGCAAACCATGACACTCTCTCACCCTGCCCCCTTTCTCCCTCATGCCTACCTTTTCAAACACACACACACCCACACACCATAGGGACTCTACCCCCAGATTACATTACAGCATTGTGTCAAACTCAACTCCATCAATTATACATATTTGACCACCAGCATACTTCTTGACAACCAGCCTCAGTGTGTGTCTGTGTGTGTGTGTGTGTGTGTGTGTGTGTGTGTTGCAGCCACAGATCAATAGCACATAAGGGATTAGACCAGTTTGGTCTCATTCTCAATTTTATTTATCTCATATGTCTTTTTTCCTGTTTTCATTTTTGACAGTAGCGTGTAAATCACTGCCTCTTGTGCAGGGACACTGGGAGTTTCAGCCCTGCAGGTTTTAATTGTCAGGATTTTCCCTAACTGTGCAGTGTATGTTGCCAGGTTTTACACTTGGAAAAAATTGGCCACTTGCATTTTGTTTTTCTAAGGAAGTGGACAGATTTAAGGTTTGGATTCCTCTCTTCTCTTGTTTTCTGCTGGTGTTGATCTCTCTTGGATGACCACTTCCCCCTCACTTCATCTCTCTTCCTCCTACTCAATATCTGTTGTGGGAGCATCTTTTCAATGTATCTTCCCTAAATGAGGTTTCCCTTGGCCTTTAAAGAATAAAAGCCTCCTGCAAATCCCCTTTAAGAGAGTGAACCATATCAGCACAGTCTGGTTATTACTGCCAAGGGGACTGAATGGACTGTGTATACAGTAAGTGTGTGTGTGTGTGTCTGTCTCTCCATGTACTTGTGTCTTTGATGCAAAATGTGCAATTCGTTTGGTCAATGTGATGATGTAAATATGAATGCCAGTAGGAGCAGTGTGTAGGTGTGTTAATGTGAGCAAGCAGGGCGGTGAATTGTCTGATGTCTGACTGAATTTTCAATTTAAATGTGTGCTTTGGAGGTATTGCAATAAAGATAATACTAGTCTCATGTTTCACATTATCTACCATTATCTAAGTGTGTATGTATGTATGTATGTGTCTGTGTGGGTCAGCAGAGTTGGAAGGCTATTCAGAGACTTTCTCACTTGAACACAAACCCACACACAGAAAAACACCTCTAGGGGTTTAGTCCACTAAGTGTCTGAATGACGGATCGCTTAAAAGCACCCCATTTCTCTAACTGAGCATTTTAGGCCCTGGGAGTCAGAAAAGTTGAGTCATGAATCAGCTGCCAATCAAATGACTGGATACAGACAAATATTAACAACAGAGAGCTCCACTGACATTGATTATGATAAAATAAATTAGATTATTTTCATCCTGAGGGTAATAACGTTCACAAAATGAAAAGGACAATTCCAATTTCCTATGATTGCATGTTTAAACAATAATCTAGGATTATTACATTTCTGTGAAATTTCTCTCTACTGACTTTCAATATAATACAATAGTTATTGGAACCATACATGCATACAGTTTATAAAAGGTTTTTCTCTTTGCTGGCTCAGTCATTCACAGTATTGCAGGCTTTTGAATCCAATTGGTTTATGCAAACTAAGAGATGTGTTTCCCATTACCTACAGAAGAAATAGCAGTTTGTTTGGAATAAACAGAAATGGTGTAGTACATGAAGACAATTGGCATGAACAACAACAGCCACCATGTCTGTATAGACAAAGAAGAAACAAAACAAAAGGTATGTGTGCACTTCTGGATCGAACCAAGTGGCGCATCAATGGGCTTACTGACAGTAAGCTGGGCACACATCAGTAACTGTAGAAATATTGCATACTATGATCATATTCCAAGCCAAGTGCAATATCTGACTGCAACTTTCACTGTGGAAAAGTATGTAAAGGTTGCATCTTTGCAAAAACATATACAGTAGATACTACATACTCTACAATGATCGATAACATACTGTAATTTGTACACATGCAAAGAGATGTACTAGTTTATATATTATAAGTAATTACAGTATAAATCCTGTCCAACCAATACAACTGTATTTATTTTTAGCCAAAACCCAAGAATGAAAAACAATGAAAGCAATAAGTCTGAAAAGCAGAAATGTGTGACTAATTAAGTCATAGCCCAAGGAAAGGTCCATATTTGCTAAAAAGCCAGTATACCCTTCCTTTCTGAGACCCCATCAGATCAAAAGAAAGAGCTGCAAATATTCACTAGTCTTTTTATTGTTTAAGTTTAATCTTGAAGTTTTTGCAGTTTTAATACCAATGATTTCCTTCTTGAATGGTGTCTGGACGGTGGCTAGACCTTTGACCTTTTTGCAAAGATGCAACCTTTACATACTTTTCCGCAGTGAGAGTTGCAGTCAGATATTGCACTTGGCTTGGAATATGATCATTGATGCGCCTTAGTGCCCGCTGCATACACCTGTCACCATTTAGTGAGAAGGGAACGCAAACTGTGCTTAGCCTTGACTTTAAAGCAACTCCAAGTTCATTATTGACACTATCACCATCTAGATGGGAAAAGTCAAAACACAAGCTAGCCAACAATGTCAGGATTCCAGTGCTACATTTGTATTTAAGTGTTGTTTAAATGTGCACAGATGTTCTTTTTCCACTCCAAACACTTATTATATAAAGCCATGTTGTGTTAAGCTCAACCCAGGCCTAATACAAAGAATAAATACCCTACGCTTTAAAGTAAAAAATATAATTGTCAGATGGTACAATCTTTGACAGTTAAATGACACGATGAGGCGTACACAGTGTTGTTGTATGCTATATACTGTGAACACAAAAGCATACAAGTAATCTCAGAGGCAGGTGCATGCAGAAAGTAAGACATTACCTACATCTCTACACACACACACACACACACACACACACACACACACAAACTACTTATAGCTATAAATCCTCTTTTCAGCTGCAATTCATAGGCATTTAACAGAATTCAATATTTTCTAGACTTTTTACTGAATGCATATTTCATGGGCTACAAAATTCCTGGGGCACAGAGACAAATACCGGGCTGTTAGCAGTCAGCTAGCTTTCTTAATGCCAAGGCCTAGAGCAAATAACAACTGTAGAACTGATGCTAGCCATGCTCCAGTGGAGCTGCGTGGTGCTGAGCAATAAGAGACTGTAGTTGGATGGCTCCCAGGAGACTGTATGCTTTATCAAATGACAGTGAAACAGGGTCAAAAAAAGCATGTTTGGTCAGTGAATACATCCGGCATACATCAAGGTAAAGCAAACAAACAAATGCAATTGACCTGATGAGGTTCCATTTCTGTAATATATCCTACACAGACACACAAACCCCTACAGACCTTTATCCTCCATTCATATACTGTACATACAGTATATATTTCAAAGTGCAGTCAATTTGGACTGCAGTAATTTGCCTGTTCTCAGTATGATACTGCACTGAAAAATGGCAGGGTATATGACAGAACACATACACTTACAGTATGTATGTATTTATTTTAGTTCTGTAATATATGGAAGAATTTAGCTTCCTAAAAAAGACGAGGCGACGTGGCTTCTCTAGCACACATAAAGGGTCGAGATGAGAAAGAACAGTGCTGTGAAAAGACATTGGAGAAATTTCAGGGGGTCACTGTTACTACAGGAAAAATGGGAAACACAGTAAATGATGCACAGCAGTTTGACTAAACTTACATTTTTGGAGTAACCTCAAGATCTTATTCACAGTTATTACTTTATTTAGCAAAGTGAAAGCAAAGTGGCACAAGCTGAAATTGCTTTGGCTCCAGGAAATCTAATGTGGGTAGAAAATATGTTGATAAAAATCAAGATGTTATCTGTGCAAATATTAAGTCAATATTCAGCAAAAAAAAAAAATTATGTAATGGGCAGTTTAAAATATTAAGTCAATATTCCTGTCTACATTTGTGTGTGTTTGTTAACATGTTTTGGAGGAAAAACTGTCCTTGAAAACAGGAATTTTTGTAACATTCTTATTCTTAGTAGTGGATTTTTAGTGGCCCTGAGGTCAGTAAAC